TTCCATATAAAAGTGCCTTCATTTATTTACGATCTTATCTAGCCTACGAAAAATACGACATACACGAGGGGAACGTTTACACGAATTAATTGACAAATTGATATTCATTCGTTCCCGGTTTATCTCCTGCCTGGTAATTAACGGCGAACGTAATTAATGCCGCGTTTGTTCGTAGCACGAAATTTCATCAGTGATCAACTCACACATTATATCATACATACATGTGTGTACATACTCTTCTCAATTTGTTTTAACAATAGAGACATAAAACACATAAATACACGCATAAAATATGACGAAAAGTATTACGCATATAATTTTCAACTTTTATACATTTCAATAATTTACTTGAAGATCTCTGAGATCCACAATCAAATCCAAACCACAACGTGGAAACAAGAATTGTTAACAGTAAGTCATCTTTTATTGACACATGTCGCGAAATAAGAATTTGATAACCGCGTGGTTAAACTGAATGCGACTGGAACGGTGACCGTGCGATACGAGAAAAGAAATCGTCTACGGATTCCAGAAATATATCCACAGAGAGTTTATCGGACCGATAAAGCATTATGTGGCTCTATTGAAAATTTCCTGCGGCCCTCACAAACGGATGAGAAGAGTGAATACGCGAAAGGTCACCGATGCTGCGCTTACATCCAATAGTAAAAAACCATCGAGCTACTGTATTCATAAACGCCCCTACACAATGGCAACTGTATGCATGCGACTACAATGCAAGAATAGATAAGTAAACAAGAAATGATAGTGGAACTTGATGTTGGACGACTCGGTTACGTTAATCTCTATTGGACGATCATATCTCGCAGCAGGAAAACATTGTTAAACGATCTGACTAACGGAGAACCGTAGTAAATAAGCAAAAACAAGAGAAGGGGACAAATTAAGTAAAAGTTATAGATACTGCTATTACCTACTAGAAAGGTCGTATATAATTTTTTTTTATCTCTATTACTTCAGGAGTATCGATTTTACTAGTAGATTCCCTTTGTACTTTTTATCGCAGTTTAAACTTCTCATCCAAAGATCACAATCCAAATGTAAAAACTAAATTGAATAAGGAATAATAAAAACGAATGGAATGTATTCGTTATTAAAAAGCATGACATGAAGGGAAACAGAAAGGATGAAATTGCGATGAAACTCGACTTGGTCCGGGAAAATCGATAACGTCTACGTTCGTGCATGGTCTATAATTTCAGCATTGCGAATTTTCGTGTAGTCTAATAATAAACGTAACCCGATAAATAGGGAGACGGATCGCGGTAATTAGAATTCGCGAGCCACGCTGTCTTGGAAAAGATCCGATCAATTCGTGGTACGCGCATGCCCTCCAAAGACCGTATCGAAATGCTTTCAAATTGGAAACGTTCCTTCCACTTTACGTTTTACAATTCGTTCCATCTTAAAATTCCCAGCTTAGCTCTCGATCCTCGGTCAGAGAAAAAATATCTCTTTCTGAAAAAGGAGTCAAAAACCTTATTCGAGAAAAGGTAAAGGATCCTTTGGATGAATTAGAACGGTAAGATTGAAGAGAACGAGATCCGAAGGATGACGACCTTATTAAAATTAACATCGTTTACGGAGAACAGGAAATTTCCTTTCGACGGTCGAACCGGATCATTCTTTGACGAGATATCCGGGCAGTCAATCGTTCTCGAGTCGTTCCCCTCGTCGATGTTCTTACGCGGAGCCACATCGATTCGAACACGTCTGCGGAGAGGAAACGTGTTAATAAACCGCAATTTCCTAGTTTCCACACGACGCGCTTTCTTAAATAATTTCACGCCACTCGTCGACATTGTCGACGAGTTAATTGGCTGAAGAAGCCGGCATCTGAGAACCCGGGTCGCAGTGGTTTACCGTTTTTCACGAGGCCGGAGTGGAAAACACACGAGACCACGACGGCGTACGTGACTGCGGCTTAGGCCACTCGTCTCGCGCTGCTCTCCGCTCTCGCCGCTAGTTAATTTGTTCGCGCGGCGTTCGAATTGAGGACGTAACAATCTGTGCACGAGGGCCGGGAACACGAGTGCGACGAAAAGGGAAAGTGGCACCCTGGTTTCAGTTACCTCGTTTCGACCCATTGTCGATTGTTCTCGTGTAATCTCGCGCATTATCCGTTTTAATTAACGAACATAAAAGTAGGTGGATGAAGTCAAGTTTGCTCGATTAACCGCGATTTGATTATGACATCTCTGAAGGTTCACGGAACGAGCGTAATCGATTCGAGAACATTCTCGGCCTATTCGGGGTTGTTGAAACAGTGCGACCACCGATTCCACGAAACGTGACACGTATATCGGATAGCGCCGCGCTATTGCGGTAGCACATAAAAAATGCATCGCGAGAGTGACCCGCAACGAGACCGAATTCCGCATTAACATTTTTCTTAAGGATGTATTGGCTATACAGTCAATCCCAAAAGTTTATGTACCTTAGAAAAACGCATTTCCTATAATTAAAAAGAAATCAGACGTCGGAATAACAATGCTAATAATAAATAGCTACGTGCTAAAAAGTATAGAAGGAAATATCCAAGTATTAATTCTGAGGAAAATTTTTTTTTCAAAATTGCGAAAAATGCTTCAAATAAAAGTTGTTTCTCTTCTAATTTCGATATTTAACGAGTTACATATGATTATATGGCATTTTATTGATGTTGACAAAATCCGACCATCCCACCGTCGAAACGGCGAACTTTTGGAAAAAAATTTCGTTTTTCCTCAATAACTCCTAAACTCTTGGAGATACGGGAAAATTGCATAGGACCTTTCTTGTAGAGGACGACGAGATCTACAATTTCCATGTAANTTTGTTGTTTATTATTAGCAATGTTGTTCCGACGTCTGATTTCTTTTTAAAAAATGCGTTTCTAAAGTGCATAAACTTTTAGGATTGACTGTATAGCCAATACATCTTTAACCATTGCGCAGTTCGTCGAATGTCGATCGACTTAATTATACGACGGAGGTTACCTTTTCACCGAGTAATTTATTTTGAAATTTCGCACGACTCTACCTCGCGTCTCCGATCAGATTAGTCAGCATTCCTCACTCCGCTGTCTGTTCGAAGTCTCGAATTTCACGGTAACAGTCCCCGGAGTCGGGAAAGTCCCGAGGATAGGTCGGAAGTCAGGATGATGCGCGCCGAGCTCCGGGGAATATTTGAAAGTTACTTGTTGGAACCGAAACGTCGCGAAATGCTGAATCGGATAGCGTGGCAAGAGTCTCGGAGCTACCAGACTTCTCGCAGCCCTCCCGACTCTTCTGTCGCTTATGCTATTACCGAATATTCTCTAGAAAATCTTCAAAAACTGCTCGGGAGATACTCTGTAATATTTCGCGGAAACAGGACGCGTATAAAACTTTTATAGATTCACTGTATTACGTATACGTACAAATTTTCCAAAGTTACATTTCATGTTTCACGTGCAGTACATTAGCAAAAATGGTCCAAATTGCCATTACTATTTCGTTTAAAAGCATGTACTTCTCGAGTCCCTAGTTGCTTCCTAAGATACTCCCTGAAGTAATCAAAGCCCTGTAACCACGAGGACTGCGCGCAATCTAGCGAATTTCAAGAATCGGGAAGTCTAAACTAAACCTTCTTCCTGTTCGCTTCTCGAGACGAGTATAGCGAAAAATCGAATAGTACGCATACTCATACAACCTGTACCTGATTCGTTTCATTCTATTCATATCAGTATTAATATATTACTATTTCGAGTTGCGGTCGATTCTAGCAAATATTGGTCCAACACGCGAAACGTTTGCGAGACATTGTGTATTATTGTCCAGTTGTGAACGAGTACTCTATTCCAAAGAACGAACTCGCTCTGGCGTATAATTCGATTCGACAATTCCCGGAGCACGTGGATTTCCGTGGATTCTTGGGAATCCGAGGTATGTGCCAGTTAATGGGTCAATGCCGCGTGCGCTCACACTTGCTTTAACCCTTTCACAACAGCTTATTCATACGCAGTGACCTTCGACCAACGCGGTAACTACCGATTTTTCGTGTCCACTGCGATGATCTCAAATTGTCGAGCCGATTAGTTGAGAAATTAATAACAGTGTGACATTATTTATGTAATCAAACTACCACTAATTCTGTTTCCTAAGTAATTTCAAAAACAAAACTCACTGCTGATGTTTAACTTTGCTACTAAGGAGATAATAGCTCATAGTTTTACTTTGAGAACAATGTTTGCGTTACTTTCGTACAATCCCATAGCTTCCTGAATTGAAAATAGTTGAGCATCTAAAGCGAAGAAGGCCAATTAACGTTGTCGCTTGTTACGTAGCACGTGCACCATGAATCCAAACAAACGCTATAAAATACCCAGGGGCAGATATCGCAAATTACGCGGACGTCTCATCCAATTACATTAATTAAATATTCCTTGGCGAAACGGAAGAGGACGCTACTATCAACGTCGAAACACTCTTTTCGTTTCTCCTTCTCCGTTCGCCTTTATATTAAAAATTGTCTGGTTCATTTGCGGTTAGCAAAGGTCGACTCAAGACGGTTAAGGTAATTCATGGAATAAATTCAAAGTACGCTCACGGTTTGGTTAGCGCGATAGCGAAAGGGTTGAACAGTAAAAGAAGGGAAAGCAGAACCTATTGTCGCGAAGTAATCTCGTTATACTGGAGCAACTTTTATCTCTGCACGCTTGCCGCAGTTACGTAAAGTTATTAGTTTGACCTATTTCTGCAGCGAAGAAACAGTGGGATGAAGAGAGGACGGCATGAAAAGAGCACGCACTAAAATACCATGAATTCCCACGATCCTTTCGCGGTAATCCACGAATCAATCCATCGTCTAGGTTCTCTCATCCCGTCGTCCACTCCTATTCCCCTTTTGCGCGCGAGCCTGTATCGGCCCACCTAAATCGATGCGATGGAAACGAATTCACCGCGAAACGATCGATCAAATCGGAAAAGGAAACCAATGAAACGTGGACGTGTACTCACGTTGACTGCTACTCCTTCGTATGATGTTCTCGAGGAATGTGTTTTGCGGGGCGACCAAGCCCCTGCGCCCCCCTGGCATCCTTCCTTTCTTGGATGATCCGTAATCCTGGTCGTTACGACTATCAGGACTTCGTCCAGCCTCTGGTTACGACGGTCACGCGCTGCCTTCCGCGCCGCATGTCCAATCCACTTTCATCTTTCACTCTTTCTCTCTCTCTCTCACTCTCGCCCTATTTTTCTCTCTTGCACTCTCTCTTTCTCGTTTTTTTTTTTTTCTATTCGGATGCACACGCGCAACAACGAAGCACGTATCACTAACTGAATGTCATGATGCGGGGGTAGTTCACCATTGTGGTACCGTCTGAATCACCTGTCGGCGGTTTCAATTGCCCGTTCCACCGGCTGGAACCGGTCCAAGCGAACGCGATCTTCGTCGACGTTTGTATCCGCCTTCACTAAATGCACAATCACTGATCAAATTGTCCCGCTTAGTTTATGCGTCTTATTGTCACCGAGTCTCTCTCTAACGTATCGCGAATGAAAAACAGCCAGACCGACAGCCGTTTTACAATTCTCTATTGCAACATCCAGTTTTTCTCTCCATGATCATCGCACCGAATGCTCGACGAATAAAGAAAAGAATACGAAGAAAGAGGAAATGAAATCGCGAATTGTCCGGGAAACAAATCTCGGAGGATTTCAGGATCTGCCGGGGATCGACCTAGAGATCTCTGTCGTCACCTGAACGCGAAAGCTCCTCCGTCGGTCCAGCGAGCAGCGTTCAGGCAGCTTCTCCAGCTCGGCGTGTTTCCCAGCTCCGCGGATTCGACGAGTGGCAATGGCGCCGGCGGATGTCCGTGGATCGTCCTCGTCGACGAAGAGGCGCGCGGCAACCAATGGTGCGACTGGTGGACGACAGAGGAGGACGGCGATCCGGATGTATCGAGGCACCGACCACGGTTCTGTCGATGGTCTCGCGGAAGTGTCCTCGGCTGGTGGACGCGCAATCGATGACCCATCTAACCGCAGTCCTTCCAGGTGATCGCGCGCGCTATCACGGGAACCCGACGGCAAGTAATTAGACGACTGCGCGCTACCTGCCACGTCGTTCTCCACATCCTCGGCGTCCTCCTCGGCGTCGGTGCAGCTGGTGCCCGCGGAGGAGGACATACCTTAGACAGAGGGACGTAGTTCAAGAGCAATCCACGGTCACATCCTCCTCGCTCGATTTCGGGACCGTGGCCTTACGTTCCTCCCTCTCCTGCTGTGGACGTTCCCGGTAGACGAAAATCAAGCCAAACGAATCGAACCAGCGATACGAATCGCGCGAATCGTACGTACGGACTGCCTCTAAGAAACTGTAACAAAACCAAATATACATTTTAAATAGAAAATTGTAAATAATAGTGAACAGAATGCATTTCATTCTCATTATTCGTTGAAGGAAGCTCGTATATTTTTATCAAAGAAGGATCTTGCTATCTAAATAGAGAAACCGAGTCATAAAGGATAAAACAAAATTCTGTTTCCATGCAACAATATGTGTCTGCAAGTAATAAATCGTTGCGAGTTATCTTTATGGATCCGTGGAGTCGCATTTATGCGAAATGGCGAAGTATCAAAGCTACAATGTTCGCGGTCGCGAGCATCGAGTTCTACGGGCTTCGAGAAAATCAGAATAATTGGGTTGGAAGCGTTTGCTTCCCGACGGAATTCCCGCTAAGCACTACACATCGTCCATCGTTTACAATGCTTGTCAAACGCGGAACACAGTACGTAAAAACAGATCATTTTTTTTTGTTAAAAAAAAAAAGAAGTAGAGATGTTCCAGAAGTGTGGCAACGAAATGGCTGGAAAAATGTACCATAGTGGTACGAATTAGAGAAACCAGCAATGCGAATCGTGTAGCTCGTTATTCTCAATTTCCGAAAGGTCTGAATCACACTCGAGAAGTCAACAACGGATTCAAAACAACGTACTCGCGACGCAAGCTTCATCGGTCTTCCAATCGCCGGCTCCGAACGATGTAACGTTTGTTCACTATCAGTTCCCGCTGCCGAGACTAAAAAGTTCCTTTTGAATACAGACCCTCGTATCGATTCCGCCCCGAAATACCGATTCGCTTCGAATGCACTAAATCACATCCGTGTTCATCCGTAAACACAATTACGTGCCGCGGCGTAGAATCGTTTCGCTCTCCCCTGTCTTTAAAAGGGAAGGATACGCGTTTACGTGCACAGTATCTCCGTGACGTCAGTTTACACATCCTGCCAGAGCCGTAATTAGTAACCGGTGGCGTCGCGCCGTGAAGAATCGATCGAAAATCGATAATTTATCGACCTTTACACAAGTCAAATAACAGCAAACATCAGTCAGTGATACGTCCGTTAACTTGCAATTAGCGTAATGCCGCATCGCCGGGAACTCGTTCACACAAGTTCTTTTTAACCTCGAAATAAGTACTCTGTTGTATCTAGTGTGATTATTTCTTACTGGTTCTCGATTCTTTCAAAGTTGTTTAATTTTGTCCGGGAACAGTGTTTGTAGAACATCGACTGTTCTGTGTCTGAGACTGTAAACTGTGTCATACGTTAGAAGAACGAAAAGATTGACGCATGACGACCGAAACCCAAAAGAATTCTGTGATCGCCCGTGAGTACTACATTCATATTGTTTGCATTTTAAACTATGTGTCCTTCCTTGTTTTTCCGTCTACTGTTTTGTTACTTGCTTTTCCGATTTGCTCATCCGAAAACTATTTGTCTCTCCATTAACTTCTATCACTGATATTCTGTTCTACACATTTCGGACAATAACAGCGACAATTGCTTACAAGCTTATGTTTCGCAAAATCATGCTATTAGAATAAATATTTTCGAAAAGGTAACATGTTATATAATTTACCGAGATATTTTAATACTAAACATTTCGCGTTTCTACAATACCTGTTAATACCATCGTAACGAGAATGCCGATTTTTTGAAAACAGAACGACCATGCTCGAATCTTTGATATTTGAGGAAAAACTACGGAAACGTTGGGTCACAATTTCGAAGAGACGTAAAGAGAATTCTCCTCGAGAATGGGAGGATTACTTTTCCTTTTTCACATCTGTACCAAAGATTCTGCCTCGTTCCCTCGATACCCTTTGTTTTCTCAGCTCCGCTAACCTGGCAGATTACTCTCGATATCGATAGCCGTCTCGTGTCGTTCGAGGAAATGCTAACATCGACACAATTTCGTACTCCTTCACTTTATGTGTACATATTCCAGAGGAGCATACGACCGTTGAGAATTTTCTACCATCTCGCTTATTTCATCATTGCTTGGATAAAAAAAAAAATAATTTCTCCTACACGTAGGGAGGTTGTTCATTCGCAAATGTAGTTCGCTCGTTTTCGTTTCTAATTGAAAATGTAGGCGGGAGAGGTTCAGGTTAGCCTTGGGGGAAGTACCAATGACGTTCGAACGTTTTCCGATCCTTTCACACGGATTAAATTCGGATGCATTGAAACAAGCCATGCGGATATACTTGTACGCTCGAGGAGTACCGATGTTCGCGTGCTCGCTGAAAATACACCGGGCCGCGTCAAAAAGTTAATTAACTACCAGAATTTAACTTCCCGCGGACGTCCTTCCCGAATGTTTTTGTGTACTCGCGAAAAATGAACTCTTTAAATGAGTTTCGTGAATCGTTTCGCATATAACTCTAAATGAAAGTATTAAAATAGTTCAGAAGCGGTGACTGCACTACGTTTTATGTAACGAGCAACAGAGAATTGAAAAAATAAAACGTTTAAGAGGGAACTCTCGTATCTGCTGCATAATTTTCGCTAATGCGAGCTCATTTCGAAGATGAACGGTTAAAGAGAATGGATGATACTCTGAGAACAGCCACGGAAGAGGGCGAGAATCTACTTCAAGATCGAAGACGCTGTAGCTTCCTGTGTTTCAATCCACGAAAGGGAAACAGTGGAGATGAATTTTTTAACACCCCTACTGTACTCGATGCATACATCTCGCAACGATTTATAGTAGGAACCATTGACCCACTCGCCGTTTTATCCTGATTTTCATTGCGCTCTCGTGATATATCATTCCCGTGCAGTCTCACACGCGAGGGAAGTCGAAGAGGTATTATTGGAAACAATGAAATCGGACTAGTCCGATTCGCAAGAATTCTAATAACGTCCGAAGGTCGACCGAAAGTGGAAAAGTAGTTCGCCTGTCGATCGATGCCGGTGGTTTTCGCAATGAAAAGCGAACAAACGTTTGGACGATCGCGGGCATTCGCTCGAATTGACTTTTATTAATAAGCGATTTCTAAAATCTCGATCATCAATGGAAACGATTGCGAGGGTTCGATGAACGTTATCAGAACGATTTGATCCGTGGGCAAACTATCAAGGAGACAACGGTTTTCCATTTTCCTGTTCGGTATCTCACGATGATCTTCTCCGGAGGCGACGCTTCTTCGGCTCATCGCTGGGAGGAGTGCCAGTACGCGTTCGGTGGAGGAAAAGACGGAGAGGAAGAGGGCAAAGACCGAGTCGGGAAAGAGGTCACCCGGATTTCTCGCGTTCTTACGTACCAGAAAGGGACTCGTATCTCAAGGTAGACCATCATTTTTCGTGGGAGGAGTTTTTGGCACCCCCTCGTACTACCGGGTAATCGATCGACCACACTTTTACCACCTAGCCTTAGCCGATGCTGGCCACTGACAAAAGTACCCGAACGTCAGTGCGAGAGTCGTTTGTCTCGGAAGGGGGTATCGGAATCTACATCTCCCTTGTATCTTCATTTCCAAGAAATTGCAATTTCTTAATAGTGTATCTACTACTCCACCGATTCCTCGTTCGAAAGAAGCTACCCACCGTAAGTGAATTCGCACTCCGTAAGTTAAATGTAGAAGAGCAATTAAAAGGACGGTAAAGTGGCCGGGGCTCTCTGAACGTGTCAATTTTCCTCAAAGAATTCGCGCTGGAAGCACGGAACAGAGAACGAGAGACAATCGCGGAAGAGAGAGAGAGAGAGAGAGAGAGAGAGAGGAGGGGGACGGCTCGTTCCCCATTATGGAAGAGAATCGCTTTGAGTTCGATCACGTTAAACTCGACTAGCTATTTCTAGCCGATGCATAGAGACTCGATAGAGTCGTAGTCTCGAGAGTAACTACGAAGAGCCAAGTTTTCAGTCAGACAAGGAGATACGTACCCCATCCCAGAGACGTTCTGCGATCGATCGACCTTCCTACGTTTCTTAACACCGAACCTACGGTTGTATGTTCTCGGTCTTACCTTGTGCACCTGAGAAGATAAAGGGCAAAGGAGAACGGTAGATCGATAGTCAAATGCAACAAGGAATGCCTCATGATTTACTCTAATCCATAAGTAAACGTAGACGTTCAATATTCTTTAAATGTCCGTAAACTATATGCAGTGTTCCTACTGCACGTTCAATTTTCTTATAAATGTATAAAATCGATTCTCTTAACGAGTGATTCGTACTCTTTTTTATGAACGGAAGACAGACATGTACGTGTGTATACTGTTGGTAAAATTCGTGACGCAAAATGACGTCACTCGTGAACGCGCGCGCGCGCGCGAAGCTGAACGAATGAGCAAGAGTGGCCCTGTTTCGCGATCCGCGAACGTCGTTTCCCGCGATTCGTGCCACGGGGACACCCGTTCGTGTAGTCATTTCGGCAATCTCGCGATATAAATTATAAAATCGAGCGACGCCAGGTCGTCTGTGTAATGGCCGGCATGTAGGACGCCGCGAAGGAATCCGTTCGAGAATCGAGACATCGAATACTCACTCTCTGCCACCCCGTGCCACATTCTGGGACCATTAAACCAAAGATGTATTCCGAATTGCTAATGGAGCAAAATGCTCCGCAATGACTGTCTTCTTATGAGGACGATAAAGCGATCACCCAAATGTTCATTTTCCACCTACTAAAAACGAGATCCTCGTTTGGCGAACGTCCGGCTCGTTGGCTGTTCGTCAACCCAGGATTAAGGCGGAGTAAGGAAAAGTAAAACGATTCTCGTTGGTAACAAGCAACGGGATCAAGAAACCGTAGAAACCGAGCTAGGAAACAAAAAAGGGGAAGTAAGTCCAGGGAAATGGATCAGGCTTTCAGGCGAAGATGACACCGCAAAGGATTCACGGGTGAAATAGGTGGTAAACCTTCGGCAAGGGAATAAAGGGGGATAACAATACAGCAAAGGGCAGGGTGATTAAACAGGTGTAACGGATCGGCGATGTGGAACGCGCGGGATAGTATTCGGGCCACGAGGTAATGGGGTATGTATAGGTACGATTTTCGATTTCCCACGGGAGGTCAGGCAAATTCATAACCCAATCTATCTGCGAGCGAAACGGAGAGAAACAACGGAACGCTTGTGCCAATGAATTCGTTGACGCACAGAGCTTATTGTTTTTAATCGATACTGCTTCTGCTGTCCCTAATTAAACCTTTCGGAGAAATGACATTACTCGAAGTTCCAATGATACTCTAAAATTGCGTGATCTATTGCGAATAATCTTCGTGGCAACCTGAGGCGAAAATAATTTTACCTGCGAGTCTATAGATGATATTGAATGAAACAAAAAATTCAGGCAATTAAAAATGCTTGATACCGAGGTAATTAAGAAAAATACCGCACGGTCCCGTATCGGAAACACTCGGGGTGCGCTCCAGGTTTCGAGGAACTTGACGACCTGTGAAGTTGGCAGAAATCCAGGTACCTCGTCGCAACGGTGAAAGAAAAGCCCGCGACACGGGGGATAATAATCGTAAACGTTGTCGAAATCGCCGCCTTTTATCACGACGTCGCGTCGCGCCGTCATCGAAGCTAGACCGACGATTTTCTTCATCTCACCGACGTCGACGAGTTTACGACGCTTAGCGTTGATTGTAAAATCGCTTAGGCGAGGATCTTTCGAAAATGAATAATCGATCACGAATCTACAGAGATATTTGCATATCCCCGAGAATCTCTCGTGGAGAGAGGAAGATCTACTTAGATGCAGATGATCGCGTTGATCTCGTGCAATCTACCGAGTACATATTGCTGTGCTGGTAGATCGATCCACCGTTTGACATTCGAGGACGATGGAACGTAATGATACTAAACAAGAACGTGCACTTGGACATATTTGATACTACTGTACTGTATATAATACCCTGAACAAAAGTGTCTGAAACGATCTGTGTTCCGAATGATGTATGTTTTATTTGGAATATCTTGTAGGCGAGCTTTGAGATCAGAGACAGAGGAGGAATTCGTCGGATTGACGGGAATTTCGGGCTTCCTTGACCCCCAGTGACCTAAATATTTTCGCTTCTGACGGAGAAGCTGATGCAGAATTGCGGCAGACTCGTGGGTACGACCGTTCCCTTTTCTTCGGTTTCGTGAAAGTGATCTAGCGACAGGAAGACAAATCTCTCTCGACGTTGCTTTAATTCGTCAACCGTACCCCTTCAGATCCCGTTCATCCTTTGACAAACGTTACCGATGAATCTATTTCCGAGCACTTGTACGAGAAACGAAAAAGTCGAGGGAGAACGAAATCAGGGATTTATTCATGGACTTTGCACACTTTCGTGAGGATTCTGTTGAAATGCAAACATCGCGACACAATAGCTTCCTTGACCTATGGAACGAACGTTTTCCGATTGGATCCGCGCGTCTCACTTATTTCCGCAAAGTTCGATCGAAGAAATGTGAGCATGGAATTGATCTTAAAAGCAGTACCGCGTCTGTTCTGACCTTGCCTCGCAAACTTCCACACCGTTGCCCGACGATGCCTCATCTAGCCCCTTAGCACGAATCGGTTGTCAATCTGGAGCGGTCCACTCGCGGGAATTCCTTTTTCTAACTAAATACACTCTTATACGAACTGTTCGATTTCCCTCGATCCTTTTCTTTTTATCACTCGTGTACGTCGATCTCTTTGATCTCACACAGAGAAGGTCATCATCATTTACTTTTTTCTATAAGTGCAATTCGCATCGATCAACAAATAAGCTATGACTATGAAGGTAGGGAAAGAGGAGACAGGCTAAGGAAGAGAATCCAGGCGCACCACGCGACCACAATGATCGCTCGAAGATCGTCATCGTCGCGTACGATTGAGAAATCATAGAGTCCAATTGTATGTGGGGTCCTACCGATGAGAATATCCCAAGGAACGTGTCCGATCCTTTCGGTCGGTGTTATCTGCGGTGGCTAAGCAGGGTGGTTCCGTCCATCGCGTTTCTGGATCGTATCGCCTCGAGGATCGATCGCGGTCGGGTGCACACGCGCTGACCGGTTGCGGTACGCGTTTGGGAAATGCGTCTCGGACACGTTTTCGCCTTGTTCGGACAAAAACGGGATTCGCAACCGATCGGAAAAAACGAGGGGACAGATCCTGCGTTTTTCTCTCGTCGCGCTCTCTGCTCTTTTATCCTTTCCTTCAGCTTCTCGGAAACGAAACGTTGTCTCAGCCTACACGCACCACTGCTACTTGGTCATCCTTGCTAGCGTAGAGAGAGAGAGAGCGCGCGCGCGCGCGAGCGGATCAGCGTACGAAATGATCGTGCACAAGGATTTCGAGATTCAGCCGTGCGACAGGCTGACCGAGTGCTGACTGAGACTCACCCTCTGTGGCGGCGCTGACTACCCCCTACAACCCTCCTACGCGTTCTCCCACTTTTACTACCGTTTCCATCCCCATGCTGTTCCTGCAGCGCTCGCGCTCTTGCGTCACTTCGTCTCGCCTTCCGATTCCGCGCGAATTCACATTTACGCCGCAAGCGGAAGATCTTGTCTCTTCTTTTATCAACACCGTAACATCCTCGGTATTTTCCAATTTTCCCTTTTTACCGAAAGAAACGTCGATCTAAGGTCAAGTTTCTCGGTATTCCAACGCATCCTTGTTCTCGCATCACTTAATTTGCTTTTTTCGCATATGTACGCGTTTAGTACGAAGTTGTTCTGTATTTTACTAAAACATCATTATGTGTCAAACAAGATTTTCCGCCTTCACGCCACGTTCCCTGCCACGTGGATCGCCGATGACCCACATTCTGCTGCGTTGCGAGGAGATCTTGCTTCCGTAAAACAAATAGCGATACGTGCTAGACGAAACCTTAAAAAAAGAGCATGCGCTACTTAACTACGATCAACTCTTTGGTTTCGGTGTTCACGGAAACTAACTGCAAGCTCAAGTATTATCTTGCGAAGGACAGTGTCGAATGTTTAAGTAACCGATTATACGCGCCACGCGTAATGTAAGCAGAAAAGAATTCCTGTTATCCCTTGAATTGCCCACTGTATTCTTTACTACGTCGATCGACTAATTACATACTTCAACATATGACCACGAACTCGCTTGACTCCGGGGTACTTCCGTGAAACCTTAATGACTTTTACTTCCGTGCTACGTTGTTACATCCTGAGAGTCCTTCGTCGAATAAAAACGCATTGTTTTTGGAGCGGCCCACGAGGTTTTCAACGAAGACGCGAAACTAAAAAGATGCTTCAGTCGTTGAATAGAAATTTTAGAGTACCGGAGATGGAATTCTTATGTTCCTCATCTCATTGTGGAGGACATCAGTGAATTTATAATCAATAAATGGATCGATTATTCTCGCGGAAATTTAAACATTGAATGTAAGGGGAGCGGCCGCATGAAAAGAAGGGAAACGTGAGAACTAAGAGGAATTGTAATAACAACGCACAAAAGTAAAGAGGAAGAGACTTCCAGAGACGATTGATTTGATCGAAATTGATAGAGGGAGAGCGTTATCCCACTTCATCGTTACTTCGTCGGCTACCCCATTTTTATCACATACTGCGAGCCACACATTATCGTTATCTTACTCGCTTATTCTTCGAGAATCAGAAATCCAATTGAGACAAATCAGAAATCAGATTGGCTTTTATTCTCCTGAATTCAACCAGTAAGGATTTCCAGATTTGTAATTTCCCTGTTGTTTCTCAACGAGGTAGCAATTTCTTTCACTGATCAGCGATCCCTAGACGTCCAGAAAGTAACATCTTTTCGTATTGCGCGAGAGGGCTAAATTCTCATCGTGACACCGAGGAAAGAGGCGGCCACCTGGCGCGAAGCGAAGCGGAATATTTACGCGACACACACGTGCTCCCCGATCCTCTGACACTAATTGCGAGCTGCGTCTGGCTGGCTCTCGAGGCCCCAAATTAATTAATGGCATACCAAATGACGAGTCTCACTCGCTGAGACCTCATTCCCGGAAAAAAGCAAAATAATACACCGTACGATCGTGCCGCGAATATCAATGCTTCCTTCGTCGTTACCGTTAGAAACGGAGCCTCGTCCACGTTAATGATGTACCGTCCCTATCCGTTTTTCACCCTCTCTGTACCTTTCCTTCTCCCTCCCACGTTCCCTTTCGCCCCATGCCGCGCGTATACGTAGCAATATCATCGCGTAAGATTATGTACGTAATATGTATATTCAGCCGTCGGAATTGTCGCAATTAAATCACCCCTAATTCGAATCTTCTAATTCGAAATCCCCTAATTCGAAAGGAGAAGGGATTTTAGAGGAGGGCTTGCAGAAAATGCATAATGTATAGCTAATCAAAACAATTTTATTGTAACAAAACTCGTTAATCCTCGACGAATAACCATTTTATTTACAAGTTACGAAACACACTAAATTCTCTAGACATGTTCATTCCTTGGATTTCTTTCCTTGGGCTTCCTCCAGCAGGGCACTTGTTATGCCTATTTTTTTCAATTCAGATACCAACTCCCCATTTCTGTGCATTTCTAGAAGTATGTCACATCCTCCCACGAATTCTCCGTTTATAAACACTTGAGGGATTGTGGGCCAGTTAGAGAATTCTTTAATTCCTGTGTAAATGGAAAAGTAGCTGATAAATTGTATATTTCACTATTGATATTGTTCAATAGATATGGACCCTGTCTGAGTTCCTCGTCTTCGAGAACGTCATGGGCATCGTATTTCACATCGTGCATTCTCAATATCTGTGTAACAGCGTTACTAAAACCACATTTCGGACTATCTGGAACACCTTTCATGAACACAACCACTTTGTTTTTCTGTAAAACACATTCAGCATACGTTTACTATTACAGCACACTATATAGACACATAAGAACGATCTTCTACGTAGCGTTTTTAGCTGGTCGCTTCTTTGGCACACGATCGTTATTACTACTTATGTTAAACGATAGAACGTAGTCACTAATTAATAGCGTAAGATACGCGATTAGTGATGAAATCATAATACATTTCATTGAATAATAAATATATTGACGCATGTTTATACGTAACCTTAACGAGATTAGCGATCCTGTCAGCAGTCGTCGATATACTTCTGATTGCGTTGTAAAATTTTAAGGAAATCATGTCTACGTCACCGTTGTTTAAATCTTGTCAATCGAAACTTGAATTTTTTGACGGAAAAACAACAACACAGGTTACCCGGTCAACACATCAATCGAAACTGGATTGCGCCATGTTGATTTTCTTTTTCTGCTTACAGTGGCTCATGTCACCCTCTACAGGCGAAGAAAGAGGACGCAAGGTAACATTTTATTTATAAACGCTTTTTACAATATATATTTGTAGAATGTCTCAATTACAAGTCTTATAGTTTGATCTCTAGTTCAGTGATTGTAATTCATGTATTGATACGAAATAACTTTGGAATGATAAACTAAATCGCTGTATAATCGACAATATTAACCTCCGCGTTCCGTTAGATGCCACGGACGGTCCTAAAATTTGTTGCCCACCGATTATTCTAATGCCGTATGAATAATGAATCAAATTCTCGTAAAAAAGTTTACATACTTATATATATTTACGTAACTGTTACATGCGCGTCGTCGTTGTGTAATGTCGTGCTATACCAACTTACACCGTGTCTTATCGCGCCAGAATTGTTGCCTGCGCATTAATAGAGCAACTAAACAGTAGAAATATTATCAATTATTAGGTAACTGCTTATTATTATTTTGCACTCCTATATTTATGGGATATGAACATTTTTTAAAACGCTTATAGCGTTCTTTCGGCTTAATAAAAGATACTAGTGTGTAACCCCGTTTCACCGCAGCCACTTCAAATTCGATCTACGTTCATGGCCTACTTCTGAGGGTCTACGCAAAGAATCCTGGCTACGACATTTCTCGGGCTATCGTTAAATATCTTACTCAAAATTCAACGAAACCTCAGCTCATCGATCATTCGCAGTTAATTTATTCAGAACAATACTGGTAAGAATTAACTTCGTATCTTTATAATATGTAATACTTAAAATTTTCTTCAGAATTTTGAATTCCTCAAAGTACAAATAATACTCGAGGGACAAACGTGTCAACGGTTTTATTGTAAAAGTCTTTTATCGATGTTCCGAGCTCTTTCACGTGACACGATTACGTATACATCTATAAATACCGGAAATTAATCTTATCTCGTCAATATATTATCAAGTCAACCGATGAAAGCACAATGAATAAATTTTCAAAAAGATCCGTCGCAAAAGTTTGCCACTCGACGTTTGTTTCGAACAAGTTTCCTAATATCGTTTTCTTTTCTATGGAATAAAACTGTTGTCATCGATTGCGACATTATAGTAGTTAGCATCAGCGTGCAACCGTGATTTCTACGTCATTCTCTGACGTTCTTTCGTAGTCGACTCATTGACACGAAGACTATCGATTTTTCAGAAAATATATAATTGTCAATGGATCGCGTGTTTTTCTATCTACGTATACTAGATGCATTAGATTGAAACGAAATGTATTTCAACTATACCTGCCGTCACGAGAGTTCATAGTGCGCAAAGACCAGTTTTCGGTCGCTGTCCTTATCTCTCTCTTTCTCTCTAATGCTTTCCACATTTTCCCCACTACTCGGGTCTACGTTTTCGGTTATCCCACTACCTCCAAGTTGCGTGAAACTGGTATGGAGTTTCGTGATGACAGAAATATGTATTATATTTGTATCGCCTGTATTCTCATCAAATTGTTTCGCAAAACTAATTTCATGAATTTCAAAAATTACAATGATTGACTTTCTGTAATATGGTTTGAAAACAGAATGGGCGTTTTAGATTTTGAAGCAAAGGCGAAATATTATCGTTGCACTTGTTATGCAAATACGTAGTACTACATGTATGTCCTCGCGCCACTGCTTATTACTGTGTCCGTATCATTGTTGTTCTTTGCGTGTTAATATGAGCGGTCTATTTTTTACTTATTATTATTGCACTCACATTGTTTAAATGATCGGCGAATATCTGTTACATTTTTCCCGTTTCGTATATCGTAAACGCATATCCCACGCAACGACGTAATCGTCCTCCCCTAGTGACGTAATTGTGAAAAATCGTTGCGGGGAAAACTCGTTAACTCGGCAATACGTCCGCAGCACGTGGTTGTCCTTTGAAGCAGTGACGTCAAATCGAAATCATGGTCACCGTGACCAATCGCCATGGAAACTGTGCTGCGAGCGTGTATGCGCCAATGCGAGAACGCCTACGAGGATTTTAAAGTTTGTATGTAGCCGATAGTTGGGAGCAGAGCATCCCAGCTTCACGGATCAAATCCTTGTGATAGGTCGGGGATGAAAGCGCGAAAATAGCAACAGGTAAAAACGTAAAAAAAATATTTGCTTTTGGATGAGTCGCGTGAAGTCGCTTTCACTGCGACCGTCGTTCGAGGTTCTTCGAAATCTAGACGCCTTTTAAGCCACTGAATGTTCAAAAATTAAAGACGAACGTCGTAGGACACGTATGTAGAATACTGGAGAACCAGGTGGGAGTCTCGCGTCCATTTAACGTAACAAAAATGCGGCCGTTCAGCGACTGTGTAATAGATACTTTTTTTGGTCATTGCGTAAGATGCAACGAACTTGCTGACGAAGCTCAAATCATTTCCTTCGCTTTCTATAACGCTTTTATTCACCTCTAATAAAATTAAGCGCAATGTGTGTGGCACTCGATATGCCAGTAAACGTAATAAATCATGTGTTACATACTGTAGCGTAGAAATGCGCGTACGTACGTAAAGGAAACAAGCACGAGTACTCTTACCGATGTATGCAACAGATAATTGCATACGATCTTGTAACACGGCCTTGCGTTCGATTTACTTTTCTCTATGCTAGAGAAGAATAGCCTGGCTTTATTTCGACCAAGTTGGCCGGGTGGGATTCGCGAAGGTCAGCCTCAAAGAGGGACTAAGGGACAAACTGGAAAGGAACGTTAGCGGGATTGTATTGTGTTCGGACCCCGAGCGATTGTTGGACTATTCCTATTCCAACGCGGCTCGCTTTAACGCGAGTACACCGTGACGACGGGTTTCACTTTGCCGCAATGTTGGCAGCTACTGCCAGTTAATGCATTTTCACTGGCGGGACAGCGATGCTAAATGATACGGTTTCCTGTTCACGGGAAACTCGAAACTAACCCCCGGCACCGAGCTATACCAAAACTCTAACGCGCCACGTTATCGGATAGCTGAAAATGTAACCTATGCGCAAAAATTTCCTCTTTGCGCTGGCTGCTCGTAACTGGAACTTCTCGTAGATTTTGTTACATATGTACGTATAATAATGCAAACAAGATTCGCGTAAAACTTAAACTACTTTGCTAAATGGTAAACATTTTATTATGCGACCGATAGGAAATATAATGTAATTTCTAATATCTTAAAAAGATACTTTCAACGCAAAGTACTATGACGCTATGTACTTGTCTCGATACTATAAAAGTGCTACGCAAATATTGTACACAGCAAACTTTTGTAAAGTGTACACGTGTATTCTCGCTTTTGAGTCGCGGTATATAATGAAATAATGTAATCCCTGTCGACGATAGGAAAATGATTTGGGTAAGCGAGGCTCGGCTTTGGCGTTCGTCAGCTTGTCTCGATTATCCTCGCGCGGAGACTCAGGTGGGGGAGGTTGTCGGCACTAGCGAGCATCTGCGACAGAAAACGGAACGGCGCGCGTGTGCGAGAAGGAGGATAGAGAACAACGCGGAGAAAACGATTCGATAAACGAGGAACGCGAGCACATCGTGGCACGCGCGACGAAGAGGGAGAAACCTTACGCCGATTCCTCTCGAGGTCGAACACGCGAACGAGACAGAAAAAGATAGAGACCGGTCCGTTCCGGTGTACATATATACATAATACATACACGCAACGAGAACGCCGTACCGCACCGTGCATATCAGTCAGAAATAAGAAAAAATGATTGTACATATTTATTTATTTATTTATATTTGCCCGTACATCGAATTCGCGGCGATAATGAGATATCTAACTGGATCACGGCCATTTATATGAGCAATTCCAAAAGAGCTGTGTATAAAAATGCTTATGCGCTCGTCTCTTCTGTAAGTTAGAAATGTGAACGAACGTTCGTTCTCTCTGAATGGAGCGGGCATCATGATTCTGTGATAAAATGATCGAAAATCGATCGGACAGAGCGATTGAACAAGAATGGTAGGAGGCACAGGAGACAATGCAAAAACCGAGAGGTCGAGCTTCGGCTCCTTTCGTCCGAAAGAGAAAGAAACGTAATCGAATAACGCGCGGTAAAGAATGGACGAGCTGTTGCGTGGGAGAGAGACGAACAGACGGCACCGGTACTAGTGGGAATGGCGAAGAGGAAGAGAGAGTAGAATGGAGAGAGTGCCACGCGACGCGCTAAGCGGCGAAACAGAGAGAAGCGTACGGGAACGGCGTGGTTAGGGGGAGTAAATCGAGTGGCTTGGTGAGCGGTGCTGTATCCTGATGGCGAGAGGAAGCCGAGGAAAGGGGGGCGAGGACAAATGACGAGGCGCGCGAGCCATCAGGGCCGTATGCTCGAGAGCACGCGACATGCGTTCCGGGAGCCGTACGACCTTAACCCTTCACTGATGTGGTTAATAATCGGGATAAGTAAGAAAACATACCGTGTCTCGTTTTCAATTAGACAACATGTTTGAGCTTGACACTCTCCCTAAGTATTATGAAATCTGTGTTTCCTATAGTAGTTGCAACTTACGAACTTACAACACGAGAACGTTTTAAAATATGCATAATAAATAGAATTTAATGTAACTGCTAACACACACGAACCGTTACATATTTACAAAGTGTACGAGAAATTCTCAAGATTGTATGTGGTACTCGTGTCGAAATCATTTTTATATTCTTATATTCTCTGCGATGAGATTACGTAAAGAGGCTCATTCGTGATAAGATTTTGTATCTACTACACGATTCACGCGTAGGCCGCTGATATTAATTCATCGTGAAATTAATATCATTTGTTAAAGATATTGCTGACTGCTTCGTTCGAAGACACCGACAGCCGGATCGTCTGGCGTACTCTGAAAAATTAAATTTCATAATCTACGACACTAACATTTTTTAATTAGATATTTCCAAGCGTACACATTGTGTGATCTATTATGTGATTTTTTGAGTAAGTATCCGTTTTATATCCTCCGTTTTCCAAGAACCACGCTAAATGGTACGCAGAAAGTTAAAACCGGGAGACGCATAACTTTGCGTTTACCGGTAACCCGGGCTAGCCATAACCCGGAGAGTGACGATGGAACGCGCAGGAAGGAGAGCGAGAATAGCGGCGCTAAAGCGAGATGAGAAATCAGGCTTGCCGATAGAGAAGGAGAAGACACGGGCGCGGAACGAGACAGATGTCGAAATAGAACGGGAAAGAAGACCGGGGCCGGGAGAAGAAATAAAGTAGAGAGTGGAAGAGAATTCATGAGTGCCTCGCGGACTTCTTCGCATTAACGGTCGCTACAAGAGAGGAACGAAAGACAAAGAAACGCGTACACGCTCACCGGTGCCGATGAGGCCAATACGACCTTACTCCTTATCGAACGTCATTGGATTGTACCTGACTAAATTACAAGATTTTCATTTGCAAACCGTAGGTCAAATGTACGCCACTTTGTACGGAGTACGATATTAATTATCTCGCGGTTGACTCAAACGAAGCTCACCTGGTCGCAAATCATTTGCTTCGAACTTAAAACGTCATGCGGACTTGGTCCACTTATTTCCTACGATAGGATCGTATCGTTGTCGAAATTGTATCACGATTTTTATCGCACCCTATACATTCGGGGGAAGATAGAAGGAAGCGTGCAAAGCGCAGCGAGAGCGAAAGAGAGATAGGGAAAGGAGAAAACAGAGAGAAAGGGGTGCGGATGGTACGAGTAGGAGGGACAGACGTTCTACCGTTGCTTGGAACGAGCAAGCTTGGCTCGAGTAGTGGGAGATAGGGTTCGGGGGATGGGTGGTGGGGCTGGTTAGTGGGTGGCAACTGAGCACCAAGTGATAGGGGAAATCAGTCGCGGTTCGAGTACCGCCACGTATGCACGTGAGCGGGTGTGCTCGTCTTCCCGGTGAGCTCTCGGTTTCTCACTGTCCGCTTACGACTTTCAACTTGCGACGCGCCCCGTTCCTTCTCTTTCCTTTCTTTTCCCCTCAGTTTCACCGAGGGCTCCCTTGAATAAACACCTTGTAGAGCGTACTTGAAATTATTAACTAAAATATTCCGGCCTTCCGACCGAAAAGTATTTTTTTTTTATTTTACTCAAACCTTTCGAAAGCCCGAAACGAACGAGCCACGCTTGCGCAGCGTTTCCCCCTTAGCGAAGACGGGGGGACACCAGGCCAATCAGAAACACCGATGTAAACAGAGAGTAGAGTTTTAAACGGAAAAAGAGTCGGTGGCTCGCGAGACACTCGCAATCGAGAAACTTCGTCTCATTCTTTCCCATTCCTCCTCTCTCTCTCGCTCTCTAACTCTTTCTAGCTCTTTTCCTCCCACCTTCCGATCTCCTCTTTCTTTATCTATCCCCGTCGCTCTTACTCTCGTGACGAAAGGACGTTCGAGATAATCCGAGCGAGCTGTTTCTTCGAGGGGAAAGTCTGACTTTGATACACCAGTTTTCAATTGTCGCTGGTCGCGGAGTACACCGAGTTGTCTCCGCGTTGTGTACCGATAACGCGAACGACTTGGGATTGTTATTGCTTCCGTGACCGTACGATTCTCTCATAAGCTGCGTAATTCTTCACTAGGTGTTTCGTGGCGCGGTAACGGGATCGGTTATCGTGGAAGGTGAAGTGACTCGCGAAGATATAGTTTGGCCGGTGTTTTAACGAAGAAAAGATCTCAGGTAAAGGAGAAGCAAGAAAGGGAAGGGAGGACAGGCTCCTGAAGCAGAGGGCGAAGGCGAAGATGCTCGACTTCGAACAACAGGCAAATCAGGCACAGGCCCTGGCTTCGCTCGACGAGGACTGGCACCTGCTCGAGGGTGAGTACACGACCTTCGCAATTCTTCGCTTCCCTTTTCCTCTCGCGTTTTCGAAACGCGCAGACAGTGGCGTAGACTCTGGATTGACACACGACGCGCACTCGGTATTAGCTTGCGCCTGGTTCATCTTCTTGTATCACGATAATCACCTTATCGGATATTGTTTGATGTCAATTAAATTAAAATAATATTGGTTCTACTAGCTTTCGACGACCGCGTTCGCTTTTCTTTAATTTCTTTTTCATTGCAATCAGCTGTTTCTAGGTCAGCTTTGATTTCTAAACATTCTACTTATTCGCGTCGTGTGTCGCACAACTGTACGGTGCACAGGGTGCTAGAAACCGTTATTGTCCTTCATCAATTGTATCGGGTGAAATAGGAAATATTTAAACGAGATGATAACGTGAATCGCAAGTGACAGTTTCTTCAAAGATCGTTTTAAGCGGAATAAACAGCTATATTATTCGAACATTATCTACGTGTCGAGTGGCGTACAAAGGATAAAACTTGACCTCTGACACGTAAAGCGCGCGTTACAGACCTTTGCTTCTTCACGCAGTGTTACGCGCCAGTGTGTCGGTAAATCAATTTTATTTGGAAACTCGAAGATCGTTTCACCATTTAGGTTGAAATAGAGGTGTAATTTGAACGGGCAGATTCATTAGTGGCTCTGAGCCTCGTTTGCTCCCACCTTCGTGCAACTTTATTCCCTGCCAGAATGACGTACGATCGTTGACACTGTAGTCGAATTTTATCAGCACAGATAAAGGATATCTGAAAATTATCAGGCTTTCGTTGAACGCGGTGTCATGTAATTGTCCTTTTTTTTTTAGCCGTTCTTTCGCGACGAATAAGCGCTATCTTCGAGATGATAATGTTCTTTTGAACCGACGATCTTGGGAACGATGATTAAGTATGGCGTTACGGAACGCGAGCCATGTAACACTTGGTTGTTTTACACGTATGCGTAGCCTTTCTTACCGAACAGCTGCTTTTCGGACTGGCGTCTCGGCTTTCGTGTGCCTTTTTCTGGCCTCACGAATCTTTGAGGCCACGTTCACGGCTTTCATTGTGATTCTTTAATACGCATACACGGTAGCCACCGCGAAGAAGTAACGGAGAGAACATAAATTTTCTGTTACGTCGCGCAGATGTGTCTGCGGTTACGAAGCAAGCACGACGTACATTTTCAAAAAATCGTAAAACATGAATAAACTGTCTAATCCGAAATATGAAACATTTGATCGACTCGTATTAGCACTTCAGGTCGACGCCACTGTTCAACTTGCTAAATTCCCGACTTATTAAGAAATATGTTGCACGTGCGTATGTGTGTGTCGCGTTGAAACTCGTAGCTCCAGCGTAATTAATACACTCGAAGAAAGTCAGAAAGTTGAAAGGAAAGAAAAGTGAAAGGGCGAGCGCGCGGATGTGTAAGACCAGATTTAATGTTTATGCTCGGAAATCGAAAAATACACCGATTAATGTACTGCGTACGTGCTCGCTTAAACGTAGCTGATCAGTGAGGATGTTTTGACATACAAAATCGATTGAGCAGCGATGTATTCGCTTGTGTTCATCGACAGAAATTAATCGCGTATCGTACGGTCGAAACTATTTAGTTACAAATATTCCTTGCGCGCTTTGAACGCGTCGCGTTGCTCGGGATATGTAGTCTGGTTAATTGACTTTTAAATTTGTTCCGGAAAATCGAGATTCTCAGTTACGCCGGCTGGGGAAAACACGCTTGGAACTTTATTTAATATATGAACGCTATGGTTAAACTCGACATTTTTAATCATATCGGGAATTGAAAAATCTGGTTACACAGTTAAGAGTTGTAAATATAAAGAATTCCTATAACTTAAACGACGTTTCTATGCATTTTATGCGTGAGATAGGAGCGCATCGTATCGGGAAGCGTGACTCGCACCTGTTTCGTGGCACATAAATGTTTGTGGGAGCAATATCGTGTTTGGCAATGTCAACCTCACCTGCCCAGTTCTGCCAAACACGTATTTTTGCAACGAACGACGCCGTAAATCGTTGCCGACAAATTTTCAACTCCAATTTCGTAGACATGATCGTTGTCACAATTTATCCTATAATACTATAATTCCATATGGTACAAGGTTAATCGCTATCATCGCAATCTACGATACGCGTCGGTTCGATGCGTGAAAATTCGCTCGTTTACATCATACTTACACCTGTTGAGATCGTGGGCGTCAACTTGGAACATCTGTCGCGGTATCTATTCAAACAGGAACTGACGCAACTACCTGGATTAAAGTACAATGGCTGCGATTTATTTTTTAAGTATCTCGAATTTTGTTTCTCCCTTCGCTCCGCCAAAGCGAATCTAATAGAGAACCGGTTACCTACGAGACGCGAATGATAACGCGGGTACACGCGAGGGTTCCGCGAGTGGGGAGAAGCCAGTAACCTGTCGCCTGAATTTTCGCGGTTGTATCTCGGGATGGAGCTCCATCTTCATGAATATCTAAGGATCGCCTACAGCTAAAGCTTCTCATCAGACGAAAGGTTCAGCCGCGAAGGGAACCAAGAAATTCGCCGGCACGAAACTTTTCTTTCCCTGTATAACTCGCGCATTGATTTCCGACTCTTCTGTCTTCATCTAACGTATACGCTTCTGTTAATCGACGATAAACGAATTTACGTAATATCAGTGATCGGCCATTTTCGACGTTGCTCGGTCCTGAATAAATACGACCGATTTTTCGACGGGTCATCGATTCGAGAAGGCATTGGCCTAATTGCCGAGTCAGGGACGCGGTAACATTTACAGGGCTCTGTGTATACGCGGTTCGATCGCGGTACTTGCCCGTTCCAAGGACCGCGAGAGTTCGTTCACTCCTATCCTACACTGTCTCTTCTATCCAACTGCGTTCCATCCGAACGCCGTGTTATTCCAAAAGATCTCGCATAACGATGAGACGGACCTTTCTCAATCGGCCAAGTGTGAAAGAAAATCGAGAGCCTGTTTTCACGAAACGAAAATGTTGCACACCGTGCCATTGACGGCGTTGAATTTTAATCGTGCGGCAGGATTTAAAATGCATCCGTTTCACCGAAACTATACTCATCCGCCGGCCGAAACGTTTTGATGAAAAAAATGCAAACGCGTAGGGGAAGAGAGAAAGATGGGGAGAGAGCGAGCCCGTGTACGAAGGGTGGAGAGAGAGTAGAGGGAGAGACAGCTTCGGCACTGCGGCAGAAAACTGGTCCAGGTGCAAGCTCGATACTCCCGGTGAGCGTGATTCGTGTTGAATATTCGCCCGCCGTACAATTCCTTATCCCGCTCTGCGAAAACGCGCTATTCCGTTCCGAACGTAACGGTACTCCTCGGGTTTCGTCGCCTTTGCTTCTCTTCTCTCGTGAACAAACTTTTTCCTCGTCTTCTTCTACTTTTTCTTAGTTGCATTCGATGGAAACCGGTTTTTCAAGAATTTTCTCGTTGTCAGATTTCATGATTCATCTAAGCAAAGTGTATATGTGTATTTTTGTAAAAAAAAAATCTCGACCCGGGAATTATTTCGAATTTGGCAAGCTCTCCTGTAGGTGGTCCATGTACTATGTCGATCGGATGCTTCGTCGACGTTCCTCGAGCACTGACCTTTCCCAAGGCTCCGAATTCGGAGTATTCTATCCGAGTCCTTCTCCTGTTAGGATGTAAAACGGACGATTCCATATTAAGAATGTCGATGACATTGAAATCGGTCCGAGATATCCTGACTCGAACGGCCTTCGGCTCAGCCGTTTCTCTTTCTCTCTCGAGATTCTTTCCGAGAAACAAGTCTGCTCACCGACAGAGCTGTGATAACTCGAACGCATCGTACCTATTTTTTTTAGCATCGCATTAAACTTTTCCATAGAACCATTTAAACTCGCGTAAAACCCGATCCGCTCGTTCCGGCAAGGGAATTCCTGGTCTCAAGGCCAGATCCTTGACGGCGGAAACGTCAGCGAGATCGTTTTCAACGCGGATTCATCGAAACTCTGACGTAGATCGTTTTTTACTCTGCACAGACCATTTCCATCTGTTTTCCATGGGCAAATCTCTGAGTTTTCGTTAGGAAGATCCGAAGTTATACGTCTGTGTGGTAGATTAATCGTCGAATTCGATGGGAAGGTTGTCGACAACAAAGAAAACGGAGACCGAAATGTAGCGAAGGTCTCATCCTCCGGTGACGCAATAGAAAGTGGTGCCGCAAGGCTGTTTGAACGCGCAATATTCCTCGTAGCTTTATTGCGATCTTACCGCCTTTTCAACATCCTTTTAAATCTTCAAACCTTACATTATTCCTTAAAAAATAATATTTATCAGCTTCGCGGAAGAACAAAACGTTGTCTCTACGTTATTTTAGTATCTCACAAATCGCCGGCTTTAGTCCTGATTAATTTTTTTATGCGAGAGACTCATGATAAAGAATGGATTAATTAATTGAGTACGTAATTAAGCGATGGGAGAGGATACCGTGGGAGGACGAGAAGGAGGGTATCTGCCTTTAAGAAAGCTTCACGCACGGGCGAAAGTGTTTTCCTGCTCGTGCCACTTATTGTGTACGCAACCGCTACTTAACCGGACTTCCGGAATGACATGCCACCACCGATCCGACCACGCCACTCTTTTTTACCTTCTCTTCTTGCCTCCTCCCGCTCCGTTTTTCTTTTTTATTCTCGACAACACGATACCTTTTTATTTCGTTATAATATTCTATAACCGTGAGCGCGTTTCGTTGCTCAAACAATTGTTTATTCTCCTCTCACTTTCGTGCGTGACGATCTCGACTGGTTTAATTCTCAGATAATATTGTTATAAATGATCCGATTAGTTCATCCGAATGTCCACAGAATCGAATCCTGGTTCACGCGTGCTCCTCGTCTTCGGATAGCTACATAATCGATATCCTCGGCATGCCCAAATGCCTTATAACATGGGTTATTGATTTGCAACTCCGCCTCTCTGCCTCTGTTGC